CCCTGGCGAAGCTTGGCCTCATGAGATCTATTTCTGCTTCACGGTTGGTTGCTGTGCTGCTTCAACATGTGGCTTATGTGCTAAGGACACGTGTTGCCTCAAGTGTACAAGATCCGAGTTCCATGGGCGTCTTGCAGAAAAATAGGTCCTATTTGCTTTCCGACAGAGTTGCATGATGATCGAGCTGCTACGACTCGCAAGGAGAACCCTGATGCCCATGGACCAGCAAAGAAAGGTTGGCAAGACCAGTTCATGCTTCTGCCGCACGAAATTGTGGGGGCAATCTGGACCTATGACCCCAACTTGTTTCACAAATTGTTTGGCTGGCCTGAAGATCCTTGGAAGCGCTCGATCGAAACCGTAAGCCCAAGAAGAACTTGTAAACCCTAACACACCCAAGTTGTCAAACATTAGTGCCTGCATGGGACCCAGGACCTTGCTACGTATTGCAAGCATATGCGCAAGAGATTGCCCGATTGGTGGAACAATCATCCAGCTGCTGGCTGTCGCTTACGCCAAAAACACCCCTATAAACCCTAAATCCTAAACCTAAAAGGGTTTAGGGTTTAGGGTTTAGGGTTTAGGGTTTAGGGTTTAGGGTTTAGGGTTTGGGGGTTAAGGTTTAGGGTTTAGGGTTTAGGGTTTATAAATCCTAAACCCTAAACCCTACAGCTGTGACCCATATATGGTTGCTGCTAAGGCGCTCGGTGATCGCGACAATATCGTGCCTGTGCGGTTGTATGGAGATGGGGCCGAGTCCCATCGCAGCCTACACTGCACATAAGCCCTATAAACCCTATATAAACCCTAAACCCGAAACCATCTCAACAGGATTTAGAACTACAAGAATGTGTGGCAGAGCAGCCGAGGATCCCAAGATTATGAGATTTTTATCTTGCAATCTGTGCTGGGAGAATCGTCTTCATGCTTGGACACCCGATTCCTGAAACTCGCCTGCAATGAACCCGAATTTTCCACAAACCCAGCACGTGTCCCCAAGCTTATTCGAACTCTGCCAGGCTGAGCTGTATGTCTGGGAAATGCACGGACGAAGCCCGAAAAATGATCATGGAAGTTCTGGCGTGGTCGTTGGACGTCATGGGCCTTTTGGACTACTGTATATAGCTCCACGGGAAGCAAAATACATCTCTTGCAGTTTTTTGAGATTTCTGGGTTTAGGGTTTTCAAGGTTCGGGTACAATCGTGTTACCAGGCAGTGGCTGCTATCCTAGCTGCAACCACAATGGAGATCAATTTACTGCTGCCACAGATGCCCATCGAAGATCGCTGGCCGGCAAGCGGATCTGTGGACCTTTCCGAGCAGTGCTTGATGGCTTTCAAATGGATCTAGAATTTGTCACGAAGTGCTTTGGACTGGTTCGCCAGATCCTTATTTTATTCAGCTATTGGCAGTACACAAGGATCATGCTCAGTACTCTCAGTACGCTGACAGTTGTGGTTCTATAGGCAGCTACAATCGCAAGATGGTGTGTCACTATTGCGAGGCGCGGGTACGGGGACGCATGGGTCGTAGAATCTAGCACTAAAGCCTTGCGCGCGAGAGGCGATCCAATGGTGTTTGGTGAACCCCGAAGAAGGCGATCCTGAGCCCAATGACCCCGACATGCTCTACACCAATTTCGGCCAGCAGGCTCTGCATCGGCGCACGCCCCTTGCATGCCCCCAGCAGCTGCTGCAGCCATTAGGAATTGACACGTGGCCAAAAACCTTAACCCAAGAATCATGAAAATAAGCCCTAAACGTATAAACCCTAAACCCTGAAACACCGTAAGCCCTAAACTTATCCCTATATAGACCCTTTCTCTAAAACAGTCAGGCTGACACCATCTGCTGATTTCATTTCCATTCATGGACCGCAGCCCTTCAGCTTGCTGGATGGCAACTATGCACCCTGGAGAGTCTTGCCAGCATTACTGAACTTCATTTTGTTGCTGCGTGCGTGTTCATGCAGTATGATAGTCCGTCATGAGGAATTCTGCCAGACTACATGCATATGGTGCATTTGGCGATCATCATCGATACCCTGGCCTCTGTGTTGCTGGACCTAACGGATCCAGAATGCTCTGTGTGGAGTGGCTCTTCGCGAGATGAACGTTTGGCTGGGGCATGGTCAAGTTACGACCAATTCTGTCGAGAAGCTCAAGTTCCAGACCGGGCAGAGCACAAGGCATTTACTAGGGAGGCTTTGGTTGCAGCTTCAGCGTACCCAAGTTTGTCACAAAAGTATGTCAGCGCTACGGCATCCCGCTACATAGTTTTCTGGTTGCGGGCTTTGCTGACGGCCGTTCTGGCCGAAGCCGAGTGGGCAGCAAACACCAGCTTCCAGATTCCCGGAAGCAAGCAACAAATTGTTGAAACCCTTTTGGCATAGGGTTTCGGAGTCAGCAAATTAAATTCTGTTTATAGGGTTGAAAATAGAGATTAGGGCTTGGGGCTTGAGATATTGCAACCCCATATAGACCCTAAACCCGATCCCCACAACTATAAGCCTTAGCGAGCAGATGTTTTCCAGGAAGGGCTTATTCGGCCTGATAATTCCCATAAATCAACCCCAAAAAGGGCCTTTTTTTACAGTGGTTTTGGGGTGGAATAGCTTGTCCTGGTTCGGCTTGGTTTCTTTTTTTGGTCCCTATAAACTTTAAGTATATCCCCTGAAGTTGTAAAAAAGGAACCATTTGGGGTTTATTGACCTGAGGCTGATGCATGGAGTTTGCTCTGGGCTCGCCCAGATGGAGGAAACGATGCTGGCATACGGCCGTTATCTCGATGATCCTGGCTGCGAGAAACTGCGCCAAGGATACTTTCTTTACCGCTGCTGTTACGATCGCCTGGCAAACCAGGCAATCGAGGCACATGCCTTGCGGTGGAAGGTGCGCCCGAAGCAACATATGCTCGAGCACTGCATATACGATTTCGCGAGTCGGGCGTACCTGAACCCAAGGTTTCAGGCAAACTATATGGGTGAGGACATGGTTCGGAGGTGCAAAGCACTAGCCCTAGCATCAAACCCGAACTTCATGTCCTGGCATGTACTTGTAAAGTACATCCTGCAAATGGGCATACGCCACCGCGTGGACCGTTGACCGCGGCAGCAAAAGAAACTCGATTGCCAGAGGCTATTCCCGGAATTCCCGGAAGACCCTCAACTTATAAGCCGTTAACCCCAGTCACACCCCATGTATGTTCTGACTAGTTCGGCTCCACTGCCTCCTATAGAGTATTTGGCTCGATCGAAGGCGACAGTAGACGGTCTCGGGGATTAAGCCCACTAACCCTCCGGTTTCCTCTGACGTTGGTGTTTTCGTGATGGGTTTTTGGTGTCGTGTCCGGCCTCATAAACACAAGCGGTTGTATAGCCCTCTGCGAAAGCAGACCGGCTGTATATATACGATCGAACAGCCCGTCCTGGTGTGCGTGCGCGTGTGCGTGTGCGTGCGCGTGTCTGTTTGTGTTTGTGTTTGTGTTTGAGTTTGTGTTTGTGTTTGTGTTTGTATTTGTGTTTGTGTTTGTGTTTGTGCGTGTGCGCGTGTGTGCGTGTGCGCGTGTGTGCGTGTGCGAATGTGTGCGTGTGCGCGTGTGCGCGTGTGCGCGTGTGCTCGTGTGCGCGTGTGCGCGTGTGCGCGTGTGCGCGTGTGCGCGTGTGGGCGTGTGCGCGTGTGCGGGTGTGTGTGTGTGTGTGTGTGTGTGTGTGTGTGTGTGTGTGTGTGTGTGTGTGTGTGTGTGTGTGTGTGTGTGTGTGTGTGTGTGCGCGTGCGTGCGTGCGCGCGTGCGTGCGTGCGCGCGTGTGCGCGTGTGTGTGTGTGTGTGTGTGTGTGTGTAGTGGGTGTGTGTGTGTGTGTGTGTGTGTGTGTGTGTGTGTGTGTGTGTGTGTGGTGTGCGCGCGTGTGTGTGTGTTTGTGTGTGTGTGTGTGTGTGTTGTGTGTGTGTGGTGTGGTGGTGGTGTGTGTGTTGTGTGTGTGTGTGTGTGTGTGTGTGTGTGTGTGTGTGTGTGTGTGTTGGTGTGGTGGTTTGTTTTTGTGTGTTGTGTGTTGTGTGTGTGTGTGTGTTGCGTGTGCGTGTGCGTGCGTGCGTGCGTGCGTGCGTGCGTGGGTGCTGTGTGCGTGCCGTGCGTGCGTGCGTGCGGCGTGCGTGCGTGCGTGCGTGCGTGCGGCGTGCCGTGCGTGCGTGCGTGCGTGCGTGCGGGTGTGTGTGTGTGTGTGTGTGTGTGTGTGTGTGTGTGTCTTTGTGTCTGTGTGTGTGTGTGTATGTGTGGGTGTGTGCGTGTCTGCAGGTGCATGTGTGTGTGTGTGTGCATGTGTGTGAGTGTGCATGTGCATATGTGTATGTGTGTGCATGTGTGTTCATGTGTGTGCATGTGTGTGTGTGTGTATCGTACGTATGTGTGTATGTGTGTATGTGTGTATGCGTGTGTGTATGCGTGTGTGTGTGTGTGTGTGTGTGTGTGTGTGTGTGTGTGTGTGTGTGTGTGTGTGTGTGTGTGTGTGTGTGTGTGTGTGTGTGTGTGTGTGTGTGTGTGTGTGTGTGTGCGTGCGCGTGCGTGTGGGTTGACTTTGTGCGCGGGCGCGAGCGCGCGTGCGCACGCGCGTGGCGCACGCGCGTCGCGCATGGGTGCGTGCGCGTACGTGTGCGTGCGCGTACGTGCGTGCGTGTGCGAGCGTGTGCGTGGCTGCAAGAGTGTGGTGTGTGAGAGTGGGGGATGAGCGTGGTGAGCGTCTCCTTTGCCCAAGTATCATTGTCCGAGCGCGGACTGCGAGAGCGCGCAGGTGTGAGTTGTGCCGTTCATCTGCAACGTGGTCCGCGACAAGCTGGGCTGCAGATGCCTCGTGCTTGAGCACTGTGCGCTCGGGTGTCACACTGCTTGATGGTGTGGATTTACAACACAAGCTTCATCGATACAACACCCTAAGCCCTAAACCCTAAACCCCAAACCCTACAAACCCTATACAAACCCTCAAAAATCGGCATAGGAGGACCCGGGCCTTGCAACAGCCTTGCCGGAGGCGGGTTGTGGGGCGGTCGCGCCGTCCTGGAGTGGGGTCAAAACGGCTTTAGGGTTTAGGGTTTAGGTCTGGTAGTCAAAAGCTTCTTCAAGGTTTGGGCAGATTGTATGAGGCGCCGGGCGCCCCGCGGTGCTCTGGGAATCTACATAGCTACATCCTTCCAATCGCAACTACCTTGGAGGAAACAACCTTTCGCGGATCGTAGCTGTACGGCTTCCTCAAGTCATGCCTGAGACCCGATGTGGCCCAAGCCGGGCTCCAGCACCCCGACTGCCGGCATTCCCCCAGTAACCTATAGGAACAACAGGGGAAGTCATTGTTCTTAAATGGGTTTTTCTGGGAACCTGAACCTTGGTAGAAAGAGCGGGTGCACTGAGTAACCTAACCCTAAATCCTAAACCCTAAACCTCATAAACCCTAAACCCTAGACCCTAAACCCCAAACCCCAAACCCTAAACACTCCACCTGGCACCCGGAGAGGCTGCTGCGTGGCGCGGCGGAACCATCTGCGGTGTCTGGCAGGCCAACAGCTTTGGGGGGGGGGGAGGGGGGGGGCGGGTTCGTCTAGGTTCCCAGAATACTTTCCTAACTTAGGGGTTTAGAGTTTAGGGTTTAGGGTTTAAGGGTTCAGGGTTCAGGGTTCAGGAAGTATGGTCATGAGAACCAGGGGAATGTCCTGGTGTTGTTTTTAATTCGGGCCTGTGTTCACACAAGCTGCTACTCTTGTGCAAGGTTAAGCTCGTTTCATATTGCGACGGCGGAAGAAAACAAGATGCGATGCCCTCCTGGAGTAACTACGCCACAAGTCTTGATGGTGGCAAGTCCTTTCTGCAGAAGACGGCCGAGGAGATCCGCGCGAAACCACAGCGGGAGCATCGAAATGCAACGGAATTCGCGCGAAACCACAGCGGGAGCATCGAAACGCAACGGAATTCGCGCGAAACCACAGCGGGAGCGTCGAAACCAAGGCCCCGCCCCACCGCGTGCGCCGTTGCGGTCGGCAACCTAAGTGGCCCCGCCAGAAGAGGCCTGAAGAGGCCACGAGAGGCCGGAATTCGCACGAAACCGCAGCGGGAGCATCGAAATGCAACGGAATTCGCGCGAAACCACAGCGGGAGCATCGAAACGTAACGGAATTCGCGACAAACCACAGCGGGAGCGTCGAAACGAAGGCCCCGCCCCACCGCTGCGCGCGCCGTTGCGGTCGGCAACCAATTCCTTTACTCTGAGCGTAAGAACCCCATTGTGCAAGCACTGTTTGGGGAAAAACTCCAACAACCTCCGCTCGCCTGTGCTCCGAAGGCCGAAAAAGGCCTTGCTCTGGCGGGAGGAGTTGAGATCGGGACCTGGCCACAATGAGGGTTTTTAAAGGGATCCAAATGATTTTAAAAAGCATGAGTTTATGAATTTGTTAAAGGGTCTGCAAACGGGATGAGCTTACATGAAGTTAAACCATATGATGTTCAAAAAAAGGGGGTGAGCTTATGTGCATTTGCAACGGGCCCATATGATTTTTCGATATCCAGGGTCCGGGGCCAGGGCATTTGAGCGGGTCCCGACCAGTGCCCACTATTCGAGATTGGGTTGGCTCCTGGACCACCCGTTTGCCGGAATGATCAAGACATTTTTTATATGGCTTCAGAACAAACCCTAAACCCTTGAGCAAAAATGCCGGATTGGTCTGCGCCCGCAAACAGTCAGGGTGCCTAAATCGCCCGGCCAAAGGGGGCCCCTATTAACGCGCCGAACAGTAAGAACCTACAGAAAGCAGGCTTGGGGTTCCTAAGCTAAAACTCAACCCTCAGAAAAGGGCTCCGTTTTCTGTTTTTTTGGCTTACGGTTATGGGTTCCCCCCCCCCCCCCCCCAAATGTCACAGTAAACTCAATAGTTGTTCTGTAATACATCCTAGAAATTCCTTGCAATATATCAGCAAGCCCGAGTAAGCCTTAAGACCTGATGGGGCCTCTCTGATTCGTCTGCTTCCCTGCTTCTGGCACGCAGCAGCCCTTGGTCTGCTAGAGCTGTTGGGGTTTCTTACGCTACCACCCTATACTTTGGGATGTTCCCCCTTGTACTAACAGTCCTTCATACGGATTATAGTAGCCCCCTATTGAGGACTGGTAGGATAAGGGGGAACATCCCAACCTACAATCCCTGACGCCTGTAGCCCTCGAATCGTAACCCTAAGAGCAAGGCCGACCCTTGGCTTTGCGTGCCACTCTTGCCGTCTTGCTCCAGGTTGCCAGCAGACCCCGGACTTGCCCCAAAACGGTTTAGGGTTTAGGGTTTAGTTTAGGGTTTAGGGTTCAGGGTTCAGGGTTTAGGAGTTTAGGAGTTTAGGGTTTAGGGTTTAGGGTTTAGGGTTTAGGGTTTAGGGTTTAGGGTTTAGGGTTTAGGGTTTAGGGTTTAGGGTTTAGGGTCCCAACATCTAGTTTTAGAGAAGAGTTCAGCTTGCAACAAAGAAGCTCGGCTCGATCTTCTGAGAACAAGCCCTAGACCCAAGAGCAACCAAGGCATAAGAAGGGTGCACTTTTTTTGGGTTTAAAGAGTGTGTGTTAAGAGACCCGAAAATCCCTAAAACAAAAGTGGAAATAGGGGCCTGCTCTGGGCCCTGGAACCCTCTAAGCCCTAAACCCTGAATGAACGCTAGAAGGCTCGAAGTGCCAGCAGCCCCTCTGAACATCCGAAACCTGGCAAACCCTAAACCCTAAACCCTAAACCCTAAACCCTAAACCCTAAACCCTAAACCCTAAACCCTAAACCCTAAACCCTAGACCCTAGACCCTAGACCCTAGACCCTAGACCCTAGACCCTAAACGCCTTCGCTGGAATCTCGATCTCCTCTTCGTCCTCAGCCTGCTTAGAGGGGTCAACGGGCCTTCGAAGCCCTCAAGCAGCACAAGCTCCCATATACCTAAACCCTAAACCCTAAACCCTAAACCCTAAACCCTACACCCTGAACCCTAAACCCTAAACCCGAAACCCTAAAGGAACTGGGAACCTGTAGCATCCTAAAGCTCCGATTGGATGTTGGAAGCCCTAAACGTCTGAACCTGCAAACTCCGCCAGACCGGCAGCCCCGAGAAGTCAAAAGCCAGAAGGCCGCTTTCTCCGGGCTGAGGGTTTAGGAGGTGTAACATATAGGGGCCTTAAGAATTCGAATTGGGTTTTGGGGGTTATTAGAGTAGAACTATAATACTGTTCGCAACTATTCCGACCCCTAGATTAGGTGTTCCGAGTCGAGGGCTTGAGCTGCGTGAAGGCTTCGCGCGTTTAGTGTCGGGTTTGGGGTCTAGGGTTTAGGCAGCGCCAGTGGTCTTACCCTGGGCCTGATAAGCCTTAAGCCCCCGTGACATCCGGAGCCCTAAGTATCATTGGACTCCTTAGAGGGGGCGACCCCAGTTGCCCACGACTTTATGTCTTAGGTTTCTTTGAGAGGCACTCTTTTTTTGGGGGGAGGCTTGGAACACCCTCTGAAAGTTAATCAAGGGCCCACTGGACCCTGAACCCCAAACCTTTATGGACCCAGCCAAGGCATAGCCATCGCCCAAGCTCCCAAAAGCTTACTGAACTCTGACTCCCAAACCGGTACATGAGCCGACATCTTTTTGGAATCCTTAAGCCCTAAACCCTAAACCCTAAAACCCTAAACCCTAAACCCCAAAAAGGAAACCTTAAATGCGAGCCTGGGCCTCGTCCCGGTAGACCTCCTTCATGGCGGCGGCGAAGCGACGACCAAGTTCCGGATCCTTTCGCAGTCTTCTTTGGGGTTCAGAGGTTTAGGGTTCGGGGTGGGTTCAGAGTTTAGGGTTAGGGTTTAGGGCTACCATATGGGGGTTTATGAAAGTAGGGTACCTTATTGGGGTCCTGATTACAAGGGAATCCTACTCTGGGGAACTATTTTAGGGGTCGCTGATTTTCGCAAAACCCCATATTAGGGGCTATGGGTTTAGAGTTTAGGGTTTCGGGTGAGTTTAGGGCGTCCTCAGTATGAGAACGAAGCAGATCGTGCTCTTCATCCGTCAGCCGTGTAGGGCCCTCGTTGTATAGGGAATGCGCACCTTAACCTGCAGAAGGGCATGATGTCGGGCCCCTATTCCCTCCCGCAAGTCCTGGGCACATGAAGGCCCTCAGCAAATTCTTAGGGTTTAGGGTTTAGGGTTTAGGGTTTAGGGTTTAGGGTTTAGGGTTTAGAGCAGCCTCGGCAACTTCCTCCTCAAGCTCCGCAGCCAAGTCCTGGTTTAGAGGGGAGCCGAGGTTGGAAAGCTTGGGACTTGAGGGCATGCGAACGACTCCAACTCCAACGAAGGGTTCAAGGAAGTTTTTGCTAGAACCCTTCAAGGAGAACGAGCTTCACCGACCCTGCCTCGGCGGATGCTTCCCATCCGGTGTCGGGAGCCTCGCGAACGCAACTCGAACCTTTTAAAAATATCCCTGTATCATCCCTGAGCCCTACCTGGACCCTCCAGGAACCTACATGTTCGTCGTCGTTTGGAAAAGCATAGATTTCAGTTGCTGCGGAAAACAGCTTTTTCAATGAACAAGTTCGCGCCATGTTGAGCAAAGCAGTGGTCGACTAAAAACACATGTTGGCCGAGAAAAAAAAAAGCGTTTCGGTCGGCAAAGAAGGGCGTCACCAAGCGTGAGTTCATGGCTCACTCTGCAAAAAGCCTGAAAAAACTCGAGAGTAGAAACTTTATTTCTCGGACATCAAAGAACTGTTTTCTTTGAAAGAACTGAAATTTTGGGCTCCTCGGAAGGTCCAGGTAAACCCTAAAGCCTAAACCCTCAAACCCAAAAGTAAACCCTCAAACCCAAAAGAGTCTCATGCTCATGGCCGCAGGATTGGCAGGAAGAGGGATCCAGGATCGCAGCCCTACAGCTCGAACCTCCAGGAACCCGCACACCGCACCCGCCACATTACACCGCACCCACCCTAAACTGTAAACCCTAAGCCCTAAGCCCTAAGCCCTAAGCCCTAAACCCTAAACCCTAAACCCTAAACCCTAACTACATACGCCACCACACGCCACAAGCATAACAGGGCCTCGTGATGGTCGTCGGCCACGTGTTGGCCCCACGCTTGGTCGGTTGAAGCCTCTTCAAGAAGGCGGTGACGAGGTCTCTCAGGTCTAGGAACTGCACGTACTCCTTCTCACTCCACGGAAAGCCCCACCTCAGCCCTTACAAGTATTTACGCTCTTCTGGAGCCCCTCCCACCATCCTTCCTACCAGGTCTATCTTCAGGCGGGGGGAAGAGCACTATAAAACAAAAGTGGCAGCTACTGGCCTCGTCATGGGCTTCGTATGCCGTGCTGTTGCCCCAAGCTTCGTCGGGCGCGTCATGGCCCCAAGCTTCGTCTGCCGGAGCCTCTTCAGGGCGTTTGTAGGAGCTGGTTTAGGGTTTAGGGTTTAGGGTTTAGGGTTTAGGGTTTAGGGTTTAGGGTTTAGGGTTTAGGGTTTAGGTTTAATGTGCCCCACCATGCCCTGCTCCCCTGGGCCTCCTCATCCTCTGGGCCCCAGGCGTGGTCTGCTGGAGCCTCTGCGCAGAGGTTCTGAGGCTTAGGGTTTAGGGTTTAGGGCTTAGGGCTTAGGGTTTAGGGTTTAGGGTTTAGGGTTGTGATGCCAGTGGTTTTGGGATAGCTGCTGCGAACCTCGAGCTGAAACGCCTGAAGTCGCACTTGCATAGTATGCTTCCGCCCTAAACCCTAAACCGTAAACCCTAAACCCTAAAACCCTAAAACCCTAAAACCCTAAAACCCTAAACCCTAAACCCTAACCCCAAACCCCAAACCCTACTACCCTGGCCTAAAATGGCTAAACCAACAACCTGGACTTCGGTTGGCACATGGGCCTCGTCCGCAGCCTCAGGAGCCTCTTTGTGGCACAGGTCCTTCCGGAAGGGTTTAGGGTTTAGGGTTTGGGGTTTAGGGTTTAGGGTTTAGGGTTCAGGGTTGAGGGTCGGGGGTTTAGGGTTTAGGGGTCGGCTCAACCTCCAAGTCTTCCATGAACCTCCCAGTAGGTTTTTCGATACTCTTGTGTTTCTTGTCTGGAGTCACAGAAATTCTTCTTCAAACCGCTCGTTGCAAGGCTTTTGTGCATGTGTACATATGTGTGCACTTTAAAACCCTTAATCCAGGAACCTCGTCCGCAAACACCTTCCCAACGCCCACCTGCCACAGCCGATTCATCTGGACATCCTTCGTGGGTGCGCGTGACGGGCGGACAAACTTCGCAAGGGTTTCCGGTTTATGGCCATCCATAGACGAGGATCGTTCAGGAGCTGTAAAGCCAAAGCCAAAGCCCTAGCCCACACAACCTACCACCACCCCTCTATACTACCCCTGTAGGTTCCCCCTTAAATAAGTTTAATTAGGCTTAATTCTCCCTAAATTCCTAAATAGCCTTAATTTTGAAGGGCAACCCGGAAGGGTGTGGTATAGAGGGGGGTAGTGGGGGAATCCATGATAAACCCCTCGGCCTCGACACGCTATGTCCCAAACCCACATCCCTACTGTTGCGCCGGGCAACCTCCTCAGGCTCTAAGGGCTCGCAAGCCACCTCCTGCAGCGAGGAGGAAAGGCTTCCAAGGTTAGCATCGTTTGGTCGTCTGGCTTCGGGTTTTTAGGGCCTGGGACGCCTGACGATTTTGGGATTCTGTGGGCTCAAAAAGGGGTTGTCTCGGCATGAGAAGAAAACAGCAGATCTACTTCTTCAAGTTGACGTGCACGAGCCCAATTCTGGCTTCTTCCGCTCCGACGCTCAAAGCTGCGATGCGAAAGCAACTCCTTCGAAAGCAGCTTCCGAGCCCCAAGAGGCTTCTATCAAGGTTCCCTTTATCCCGAGCCTGAACCAAGATTCCCCCGACATTCTGATAAGTGATATATATATATATATGTATATATATATATATATATATATTGTTATTTGTTGTATTTTCATTTTTTAGGGGGGGGGGGGGGGGGGGGGGCGGAATCTATGCCCCTACATAAAGAGACACCGACACCAACCCATATAACTCTTTCCCCAAGCCCCAGCATTTCGGGAGGTTTGGGAAGCAGGGTTGACCCAGACCCCTGGGAGGATCCAAAAGTAAAGCCCCCAAACAGGACTATAATACTAGTATTGGGTCAATCTTAGGAACCCTTCAGAGGAGCTACTCTGTGGATCCTCCCAAGGCTCATGCAAGGGTGTTTTGGAGCGAGTCAGTCATTTCAGAAGCAAGCCCTAAACCCCAAACCCCCAAACCCCCAAACCCAACAACCCAACAACCCAGTAACCCAACAACCCAACAACCCAACAACCCAACAACCCAACAACCCAAAAACCCAAAAACCCAAAAACCCAAAAACCCAAAAACCCAAAAGCCCTAAAACCCTAAAACCCCAAACCCTAAACCCTAAACCCTAAACCCTAAACCCTAAACCCTGCCTCCATCTCCTCCATGGGCTCCAGCTCCGCTGTCTCCTTCGGTGGCATGCGGCCAGCCACCCCACGCCGGAGCGGCATTGCCCTGGAGCTGAACCCAGATCCCCCCCCCTGACAAGAGTTTAGGGGGTTTAGGGTTTAGGGTTTAGGGTTTAGGGTTTAGGGTTTAGGGTTTAGGGTTTTACGGTTTAGGGTTTAGGGTTTAGGGTTTAAGGGTTGCCAAGAATGACCCAATGGTAGTATAGGGTACCATGTGGGGGTTCTACCTTTTTGGATCCTCCCAGGGGTCTGGGAAGAGGTGTGCGGGGGGCTCTCTAAATTCGGGTCCCTTTTTGGTGCCTGATATGGGGGATCCAACACGGGTCCCACAATTTAGAGAACTGCCCATGCCTATTCTCTTCTGGTCACCCCGATGAAGCAGCCCATGCAGCAACCTTCTGGTATGGATGAGATGTACCCAAAACCCTAAATCCTAAACCTAAACCCTATACAGCACCAGAGCCGCCATCTCGACTCTCTGGACCCCTCTAAGGGCAGCAACGTGGCCCCTTAACATGGGCCCTTACATGTGTACCCTTATATACCCGATAAAACCCAAGGGCCCATGCTTCAGAACCCTTTCAAGAAGGTCAGGGACCGCATTAAGGCACCATGCAACTACCCTTCGAAACTCTGCAAACCCCTAAGCCCCAAACTCTAAACCACCCGATTTAAGACCCTATCCACCCACACCGCTGGGAGGACCCAAAAAGCAAAACCCAAAAAAAATCCTATGACTACTATTGGGTCATTCTGAGGAACCCTGAAGGGGGCAAACCCTAAACCCTAAACCCTAAACCCTGAGCCCTAAGCCCTAAGGCCTGAGCCCTAAGCCCTAAACCCTAAGCCCTAAACCCTCAACCCTAACTGCAGGCAACAAGCTTCGGCTGCGGCTTTGGCGGGGTCCGCGGCGCGCGCTGGCCAAGGGATGCGGCCTCGAAAGAGTCTTCGGGCTGCTTCGGGTTTAGGGTTAGGGCTTGGGGGTTTAGGGTTTAGGGTTTAGGGTTTAGGGTTTAGGGTTTAGGGTTTAGGGTTTAGGGTTTAGGGTTTAGGGTTTAGGGCTGGAGGGGCCATTCCATGACCTCATGAAGAGGAGACGCCGAAATCGCCCTGCATTTATAACTACACGTCCAAGCTTGGCATGAAACAGCTGTCTTCAATGTCAGAAAGCTCTGATCTCACAGAAGTTTCAAACCCACCCTAAAACCTCCCGAACACGCCCGCAATCCTCAAACCCCAAGCCCCAGAAAGAGCAAAACCCAAGGCACACAAACCCTAAATTGGGGACCTGTCTTTTTGGGTTGCCTTTCTTGTCAGTCTCTAGAATAGTATGCTACAATATACAACAAAAACACACCATAGTATCATACGACAATAAAACGCTACAACAACATACTATAACAACGTACCAGAATAGTATACCACAACACTATTCAGAGCATACCTTGGTAGCCCAGGAACCACATCACAATGCAGGTACCCTTTTTGGGGGTTGGTTACTTTCATCAGGCAACCTTGCAAAAAAAATGGAAAAAGGGCACCAATCAGGCTACCAAGATAGATACTCTAATACCCAGACCCCTGGGAGGATGCAAAAAGTAGAACCCCAAATAAGACCCCATACTATTGGGACATTCTGAGGAACCTATAAACCCTAAACCCTAAACCCTAAACCCTAAACCCTAAACCCTAAACCCTAAACCCTAGGGTAGGGATCCCAGGGGAGGTCGGGCCTGCACGCTTGGCTCCGGGACCGCCGGAGGCCCTGAGTGTGCGGAGATTGGGATTTTGAGGCTTTTAAGGGCTTTTTGAGGGTCTTTTAGGGTTTTTTGTTAGGGTGTTTAGGGTTTTGAGGGTTTGAGGGTTTTGAGGGCTTTAGGTTTTTCGGGGTTTTAGGGTTTTTCGGGTTTTCGGCTTTTAAGGCTGAGGGTTTGATGCTTAGGGTTTAAGAGCTTTCGGGTTTAAGGTTTAAGCTTTCGGGTTTAAGGTCGAAGGTTGAGAGCTTGAGGTCGAGAACTTGGCAATCGCAGTACGCTTGTCTGCGTCAGGCTTGAGTTCGGGTCCAAACTGAACAGGATGGCAAGTTGGACTGTATCCTTATCCTTAGAGGTCATAACAACATGCTTCGCATGAGTATTGTACTATTCTTAGTATGGAACTGACATGAACTTGCTACTTACCTTTTGGTGACGTATTTGTTCTCAGGATTCTTGGCTCTGTGTGTGTGTGTGTGTGAGTGATTGAGCGGGTGCCGTTCAGGTTTATGGTGCCAGGTTGGGACTCCCGTTAGGTGCCTTCATTCAGAGAGGTTGAATCACCGGTGGGTTTAGACAGGAAGTGTACTACCCCAAACCCTTTAAACCCTAAACCCTGAACCCTAAACCCTAAACCCTAAACTACTCTGAACTCACCAAGGGCTAAAGGTTACTTACTCAACCACTTCTGTAGGCTTTCATGGGGTGGGATGGAAGGCGGTGCCCGGACTCTCAGTCGTACACTCACCTCTGCCACCGGCTGCAACTCCCACGAAAACAATTGAGAGAGCTCCACCCTAGTCCCTACACCACCTTGCAAAAATGAATAACTCACGGGCTTCAAGGGATCCCCTAAAAAGTCACTGACTCCAGCCTGAACTAACCATGGGGCAACACCCTGCCAGAAAAACTCCAAAACTCCAACCAAAGCACATCCCCTCAACATCCCGAATACTGACCGAGCACAAGCATTTTCCCCAAATCAGGGCGACTACTATGTTACTACCAAGGGGGCCTTGTCGGGCACCCTAAACCCTGCACCCTAAACCCTAAACCCTAAACCCGAGCCCTAAAGATCCACGTACTTAGGGGTGTTAGAAACTCTGCGTGCCAGGATGCCAGCTGCAGAGGACGCCCTAGCGTCCTCATGCTCGATTCACTTCGAGAAGTGAAGGGAAGCTGGAGGTCTCCAAGTACCCATATGGAGGGTTTCCGAAATGAGGGGTACCTTATTCGGGGTCCTTATTACAAGAGAATCCTACCATTTCGGGTGTATATGTGGCGGTCCCGTATTTTCATAAAGCCCCATGTCTTTCGGGTATGTTCAGAGTCTCTTAGTATGGGCCCTCAGAAGGGGGACCCCGTATATGCCCCTTATCTACCCTATGCAACACAAGGGCCCATACATCAGAACCCTTTAAAGAGGGTAAGGGATCAGATTCAGGGACGATGAAACTACCCTTAGACCACAAGAGCCGCCTAGAAGCTCCCCTGGGCCTGTCTCTGGGAATTTTGAAAGCTTAGGAAGCCTGAAAAACCCGATGAACCCTGAGAAACCCTAAGCCCAAAACCCTAAACCCTAAAACCTCCGTGTTAACGGTTCATGCCCAGAACCCTATGAGTTCGCGCAGCCGGGGTCGGGGTGTGAGCTCGCCTATGTCGGGTGAGATCCCAGGCTGTGAGAACCGCTGGAACACCTGGTTGATCAAAACTATGGGGGCCTCTTGGTGTCAGAAACTTTCAGGAAGATGCCTAATAGGAGAGACCCACAAAGATGGCTGACACTCCAGTTCCCCTGAGCCCCAAACTCCAAACCCTCCCTCTCCCCCCCCCAACTGCTCCGCAGTCCTCCCGCTGTTTGATCAGCTTGCGGAAGCCAGTGGCAAACATGATCTTGTGGCCTATGAGAGCGTGTGTCGCAGCTACCTGGGATCCTTTGTACCTACGGTTTAGTAGTAGTTAAGTGCCCCGCCCTTTTTTTAGTTTTTTTTAGTAGGTATAGCCCTTAGAACTGTGGGTAAATGGGGTCCCAGGTAGAGCGCGCTTGGCTTTCAGGCTTTCGCGCGGCACAAGTCGAGAGGCTACATCCTGACAGAGGAAGCACCAAAGCCAGAGTGTCGGGATGAACCTTGACACCAATGGCCCTGAAAGCCTAAACCCCACAGACTACCAACAATACTGGCCTGTATTTGACCCTGAACCCCAAACCCTAACTAAGCCCTAAACCCTAAACCCTTTATATGCGCACATACACGCTATAAGCCCTAAACCCTAAGAAAACCCGAGTTTTTAACTCGGAGCCCCAAGTCGGCCATGCGAATGAGGAACATGGTAACTTCTCTAGGTTAGGGTTCCTTTTGGGGTTTCCTTTTTTGGCGGCCCCTTTTGTTTAGGGTACCCCAAAAAGGGACCATGATCTTGAGACGTGACCATATAGTACCCTGATTCAAGGAACCTTAACCCTAAACCCTAAACCCTAAACCCTATTAAGGCTCCTTGGCTCTCTGAGGATATTGCAGGCGCCCTCTGCAGCTCTCAGGAAGCCAAGGGCAACGAGGCTCCCTGGGAGGTACAGTAGATAAGGGTTCCTAAGAAAGTTGTAGTACAGGGCACTATTTGGGGGTTTCTACTTTTTGGATCCTCCCAGGAGTCTGGGTAGCAGGCCCTTTCAGAACCTCAGGCAAATAACGACATGACCCTCAAGCACTGCGCCACTCTCTTAGCAGCCCGGGCCTACTTTCTTGAGCTTGGTGCTTTCCAAGAAAGACAGCTTGAACACCATCTTCCTCGGCTGAGGCATGGCAGACCTTGCAGATCTCTACGCCTGCATACCTGCCGCCTCCTGCTACAAAAGCAGTTGCTGGCGAGATGCTTCGTGTCCAGATCTTGAACGGCCCATTCTATCAGCTCTTGCCAGCTGCTGCAGTGTTGGGACATGGCCTGGCAGTTTTCTGCAGAGCTTTGGAAGCACCAGCATTGTAGAGCCAATAATTTCAGTGGAGTTCACCATCTCCAACCACTGCAGAAGCGTAAAGTGAACATGCACAAGTCCGATTTGCATGCGGCAGCCTCGTGGTATTCCATCATCACACCCTTGCCCTTGTCTAGGCTGTTCAGCCACTCGACCAGCTCTTCTGCAAAGCCTGCAGGTTTCTAGGCTCAGGGCGTTGAGTTAAGTCGCTTAGTCTAAGTCTAGAGCGCATGTGCGAAGAAAGATCTCCGTGTACAAAACGTGTACTTGGACCATCGTACCCGCAGGCCTCTTTGCGCACTTCATGTCGGTATTGATCTGAAGTATGGCCATTTCTGGGATTGTAGTCACTCCCAGTCCTATATAACTGCTCAGGGTACCAAACCCGTATATACATACATATATAGAACTCCATGTGGGATAGAACAGCCTTTGGAGGTCGATCTAAAATAGAAGCCCTTGTTTTGCTAACGATACGGAAGATACGACCTTAAACTGAGACCCCAAGCAGGCGCATGGTGGAGATTAACTCCTTTATCATCTAGGGGGTTTACGAACATAGGGGTACCCTTCTTGGGGGGGTCCCTTTGAGGGGCTTCCTTTCTATTTGGGTGTAAAAAGGGGTACCCCAATTTTGAGAAATACCTACTCAGGTTTAGGGCTTTGGGTTTAGGAGACAACCTCAAAGGCGGCACGCTTCAGGTGGCCCAGCTTTCCGGAAACTGTGCCCCGACAGCAACGGGTCTTGATGCCGTGAGGGCATGGGGTTGGGCCGGGGGGGGGGGGGGGGGGGGGGGGGGGGGGGGGGGGGGGGGGGGGGGCCGAGGCGATGGGTTTTTAGGCCTTGTGGCGTCAGGTTTCAGGATGGCCTACGTATATAAGCTTTCAAGGTCCAAGTCTACAGGACTCCGGTGCAGCTTGAGATTTAGGAGCTCATTCGACTTCGTTGTTGGACACTTGTCTGGGGATTGTGTGGACTTGCATGCTAAGCTGTCCGGTCTGAAATACCCTTAGCCATAAACGCTGCTCAAGAAGAGGGCATTCGGTGACAGACTGCAGATTTCATGGTACTCTAGCACTAGGATGGCCCTTAAAACCCTCTGAAAGAGATTCCTGAATATGCTCCTCATAAACCCCAAGGCCCTACCTAGAACATCGTTTCTGCACACTGCTAAGAAACGCCCTCAGGATGTCGGCAGGGTCTTAAAAGGACTGCTTGGAGGTTCATAGGTAGTTCTACCGCAGGGGTGATAAGTACCCTAAGTACAGCTATAGGCAATTATAGGCATAGCTATAACCCTACTTATTACTATCCACGAACCTTGAAGTGGCTCTTGCCTGACAGTATCCGGGAGTTTAGGGATTATAGGGTTGATAGGGTTTGTAGGGGTTAGGGTTTCGGGTTTCGGGTTTAGGGTCCTCAAAGTTCAAATGGCTCTCCCTGCGGGTCGCCATGCCGAGCATCTCGATTGCACGGCAAGCCGTGGAAAGCTGTTCCCTAAACTCTAGACCCTAGACCCTAAACCCTAAACCCTAGGCCCTAAACCCTAAACCCTAACCTAAACCCTAATAGCCCTTGAAGCTCCCCTGCAACTCCGACGCAGCGCTGCCTTCTTCCCTGGGGCGCTTCACACCATTGGTGCGGTTTTCGGCCAGAGGCGGGGCGCCTTCCGGGAGATCTGACCCTTCCCGACGAGGTGTGGGGCTCACCCGAGGTCATGCGTGTTTTGGTCCGTCAGCTGTCCGCTCTCGGGTTGTGGGTGCCAATGCTAGTCTGATGCCTGGTAGTGCCGTATCTTGCCACCTGTCTTGTAGCTACTAACATACAAGTCCGAAAGCCACCGAAGTTTGGTTGAACCCTCATCCTTTCCCAGTAACTCGGGCACTTGATTGCAGAATTGCACCCCCAAAACCCTAAACCCTAAACCCCCCCAAAACCCAAGCATCTCCTTTCGGCGGCTTCGACGGTTCCGGCGGCTTCATGGAAGTGGGCTTTGGCGGCTTCGACGGCTCCGACGGCTTCGCAGACCCATGATTGGGTTGCGGCGGCCTCCGCAACAAGGATGAGGACTCGTCCTAAACCCTAAACCCTAAACCCGAAGTCTACGATCTAAGGGCCCATAAGCCAACTCACGAGCCGAGAGAGGTCTTTGTTTGAGTTCACAGCAGAGCATCACGAACCCAAAGCTCTAAGGGATTTAGGGTTTAGGGTCTAGGGCAATTTTTGTGCACCCCAACACCCTCCTAAACCCACAAGTGCCCTAGCCCCAAAACCCCACCCAAACCCCCGCCGCTTCTAAGAAAGCTCTCAAAACCCCAAACTCCAAACCTGAAAGCCCTCATCCTAAACCCTAAACCCTAAACCCTAAACCCTAACACCCCAAACCTGGAACCCCAAACCCGCCTGGTCGTCGGCCTGGGCACAGAACGCGCCAGGGAAGCCCTGGGCGTTGGCCGCGCCTACAGGCACATTGCGGTTCAGGGGTTAGGGTTTAGGGTCTTGGGGTTTAGGGCTTAGGGTTTAGGATTTAGGGTTTAGGGTTTAGGGTTCAGGGGTTAGGGTTTAGGGTCTTGGGGTTTAGGGTAGGGCTAGGTTTAGGCCTTTCAGGTGTATTTGAATTATGGTTGGCATCCACTATAACGACCGGATTATCCATGTTATTCTAATTAGTGAAGGGATTAGTTCTACTGTTTGAGCAGTTCAACTTTGAAAGAACTGTTCCAGAAGTTCTGTTTGAAATCACAGAACAGATCACTGTTAAGCTAGAGGCCGTTCGTTATAAAAAAACAATTGCCATATGTGCATGGCTATGGTTGTCGATCATGAAGCTCTTATAGTTAGGGGATAGCCTTCTACTGCAATAGGGCTTCATTAGACTCAGTGCAGAAACATAAAAGAAATGTTGCTTTTACAGCCCCCGAAAAGTTTCCCTGATACTACGTGATCAGGACTTATAAAAGCGCACTTTGCAGTTGAAATTTCCCCCTGCAGGTAGCCTATATAAACTCATTTTGACAGAATTCAGCTATACCATTCACAGAGTGGCAGGGAAAAATTAAAGAGAATGAAGGAAAGCTACTGGGACGGCCGCTGGCCCTATAAGCCTCGGTTCCCGAGGAAACGCAGCGCTTGACTTCCGACGATTTATCCCGCTATGTATTCAAAAGGCCATCGGGTTCTGCATGGAGTTTGCAAATTTGTGTGGCTTCAAATTAGACGGCCGGGTAATAGTGTGGTTATGAGAGCTTTGTTTGCGATGGCGGACCTCGAATTGAGTCGAACTCGTGAAGCGGCTTGTAATTCAAATTTGGGGAGGGGGGGGGGCAAGAAAGTCGAAAGTATTCTGCTACACATTCTGCGCCACATATTTCATGACACATGCGACTTAAGCTTAGGTTAGAGGTGACTGCTATTGGCACATCAATTGCGAGAAATAGGATCGAGATGATGCCAAAAACCTTTAGCACCAGATTGCAACAATTATGTTGAAGTAAGCTGCGCATCGGCCGCGAGGCTCATCAGGTAGTGTAGCTGACCCCTAGTTGTGAAGGAGTGTCTCGTCATAACCTAAGATAGCAATATCCAGTACTTGATTTTGCGCATGCTAACACACCACTTTCAGATAACTTAAGTTCCTGGCCATTCCCTGAGCGTACTTTCGTAGGATTGAAGCGAAAATCGTTGATCAATGGGGGCGGGGAAGCACATACATATACATGTAAGAGGAACCTCTATGTACTATTTGACATGGCTGCTTTCTGTATTAAAGTTTTAATAGTTTTAATAGTTTTGAACTTTCAAAACAACATCCTAAACTATTAAAACTTTAATTTTCCTTTTTAAGTTTTAATAGTTTTAATAGTTTTAATAGTTTACACTTTTAAAAAGGCTCCTAAACTATTAAAACTATTAAAAAGAAACGGCCTTGCCCAGGAGATTCCTGAACTTTTAAAACTATTAAAACTTTTAAAACTATTAAAACTATTAAAACTATTAAAAAGGCTTCTTTTGAATAGTTTTAATAGTTTTAATAGTTTCAACTTTTAAAAAGCCTCCCGAACTATTAAAACTATTAAAAAGAAGCCCTTTTGGTAGTTTTAATAGTTTTAATAGTTTTAATAGTTTTAATAGTTTTAAAAGTTTAAAAGTTCGGGAATCTCCAGGCCAGGCCTTTTCCTTTTTAAGTTTTAATAGTTTTAATAGTTTCAACTATTAAAAAGGCTTCGAAACTATTAAAACTATTAAAAAGAAACGGCCTTGGCCAGGAGATTCCTGAACTTTTGAAACTATTAAAACTTTTAAAACTATTAAAACTATTAAAACTATTAAAACTTTTAAAAAGGTTTCTTTTTAATAGTTAATAGTTTTAATAGTTTCAACTTTTAAAAAGCCTCCTAAACTATTAAAACTATTAAAAAGAAACGGCCTTGCCCAGGAGATTCCTGAACTTTTAAAACTATTAAAACTTTTAAAACTATTAAAACTATTAAAAAGGCTTCTTTTTAATAGTTTTAATAGTTTCAACTTTTAAAAAGCCTCCCGAACTATTAAAACTATTAAAAAGAAGCCTTTTTAATAGTTTTAATAGTTTGGAAAGTTTTAAAAGTTCAGGAATCTCCAGGCCAGGCTTTTCCTTTTTATGTTTTAATAGTTTTAATAGTTTTAATAATTTCAACTTTTAAAAAGCCTCCCAAACTATTAAAAACTAGCGGCTCGATTTGGCCAATTTTTCCCGGGCAGTCTGCGGGCAAAATTTGGCCAAATCGGGCTGCTCGTCGTACGCGATAACAATTAAATAATTTCCGGCCTCCAGAAAGGCGCGGTTCGATTTGGCCAATTTTTGCCGGGCAGGCTCCGGGCAAAATTTGGCCAAATCGGGCTGCTCGTCGTACGCGATGAGAAATGCGCGGGTCGATTTGGCCAAATTTTGCCGGGCAGCCTCCGGGCAAAATTTGGCCAAATCGAGCCGCGCATTTCTCATCGCATAACGAAGAGCAGCCCGATTTGGCCAAATTTTGCCCGGAGCCTGCCCGGCAAAATTTGGCCAAATCGAGCCGCGCCTTTCTGGAGGCCCAAAACTATTTAAATTATGTAAATAATAAAAATAAAAAAAACAATGAAATAATTCCGGGCCTCCAGAAAGGCGCGGCTCGATTTGGCCAAATTTTGCCGGGCAGGCTCCGGGCAAAATTTGGCCAAATCGGGCTGCTCGTCGTACGCGATGAGAAATGCGCGGCTCGATTTGGCCAAATTTTGCCTTTTTAATAGTTTTAATAGTTTTAATAGTTTCAACTTTTAAAAAGCCTCCCGAACTATTAAAACTATTAAAAAGAAGCCTTTTTAATAGTTTTAATAGTTTTAATAGTTTTAAAAGTTTTAAAAGTTCGGGAATCTCCAGGCCAGGCCTTTTCCTTTTTAAGCTTTAATAGTTTTAATAGTTTTAATAGTTTTAATAGTTTCAACTTTTAACAAGGGGCCGAAACTATTAAAACTATTAAAACGAAACGGCCTTGGCCAGGAGATTCCTGAACTTTTGAAACTATTAAGACTTTTAAAACTATTAAAACTATTAAAACTATTAAAAAGGTTTCTTTTTAATAGTGTTAATAGTTTTAATAGTTTCAACTTTTAAAAAGCCTCCTAAGCTATTAAAACTATTAAAAAGAAACGGCCTTGGCCAGGAGATTCCTGAACTTTTAAAACTATTAAAACTTTTAAAACTATTAAAACTATTAAAACTATTAAAACTATTAAAAAGGCTTCTTTTTAATAGTTTTAATAGTTTTAATAGTTTCAACTTTTAAAAAGCCTCCCGAACTATTAAAACTATTAAAAAGAAGCCTTTTTAATAGTTTTAATAGTTTTAATAGTTTTAATAGTTTTAATAGTTTTAAAAGTTTTAAAAGTTTTAAAAGTTCGGGAATCTCCAGGCCAGGCTTTTTCCTTTTTACGTTTTAATAGTTTTAATAGTTTTAATAATTTCAACTTTTAAAAAGCCTCCCAAACTATTAAAACTATTAAAAAGAATCCTTTTTAATAATTTTAATAGTTTTAAAAGTTTTAAAAGTTCGGGAATCTCCAGGCCAGGCCTTTTCCTTTTTAAGTTTTAATAGTTTTAATAGTTTTACTAGTTTCAACTTTTAAAAAGCCTCCCAAACTATTAAAACTATTAAAAAGAAGCCTTTTTAATAGTTTTAATAGTTTTAATAGTTTTAATAGTTTTAAAAGTTTTAAAAGTTCGGGAATCTCCAGGCCAGGCCTTTTCCTTTTTAAGTTTTAATAGTTTTAATAGTTTTAATAGTTTCAACTTTTAAAAAGGCTCCGAAACTATTAAAACTATTAAAAAGAAACGGCCTTGGCCAGGAGATTCCTGAACCTTTGAAACTATTAAAACTTTTAAAACTATTGAAACTATTAAAACTATTAGAAAGGCTTCTTTTTAATAGTTTTAATAGTTTTAATAGTTTCAACTTTTAAAAAGCCTCCCGAACTATTAAAACTATTAAAAAGAAGCCTTTTTCATAGTTTTAATAGTTTTAATAGTTTTAATAGTTTTAAAAGTTTTAAAAGTTCGGGAATCTCCAGGCCAGGCTTTTTCCTTTGTAAGTTTTAATAGTTTTAATAGTTTTAATAATTTCAACTTTTAAAAAGCCTCCCAAACTATTAAAACTATTAAAACGAATCCTTTTTAATAGTTTTAATAGTTTTAATAGTTTTAAAAGTTTTAAAAGTTTTAAAAGTTCGGGAATCTCCAGGCCAGGCCTTTTCCTTTTTAAGTTTTAATAGTTTTAATAGTTTTAATAGTTTCAACTTTTAAAAAGCCTCCCAAACTATTAAAACTATTAAAAAGAAACGGCCTTGGCCAGGAGATTCCTGAACCTTTGAAACTATTAAAACTTTTAAAACTATTAAAACTATTAAAACTATTAAAAAGGTTTCTTTTTAATAGTTTTAATAGTTTTAATAGTTTCAACTTTTAAAAAGCCTCCCAAACTATTAAAACTATTAAAAAGAAGCCGTTTTAATAGTTTTAATAGTTTTAAAAGTTTTAAAAGTTCGGGAATTTCCTGGCCAGGGCCCCGGGCCTCTTCCCAATACTAAATCACGAGCCCGGGCCTTCCCCCAATACTAGATGACGAGCCCGGACCTCTCCCCAATACTAAATCACAAGCCCAAGCCTCTACCCAATACTAAATTACGAGCCCGGGCCTCCCCCAAATACTAAATCACGAGCCCGAGCCTCCCCCCAATACTAAATCACGAGCCCGAGCCTCCGCCCAATACTAAATCACGAGCCCGGGCCTCTCCCCAATACTAAATCACAAGCCCAAGCCTCCCCCCAATACTAAATCACGAGCTTGGGCCTCCCCCCAATACTAAATGACGAGCCCGAGCATCCTCTCAATACTAAATCACGAGCCCAGGCCTCCCCCCAATACTAAACTACGAGCCCGGGCCT